TCGATTGCTAAAACAGGAAAAAGGAGAAAAATTTGAATTTGAAAAAGTTTTTGATATGACAGGCCGAAAAGTGTGCATTCGAAAAGCAAGATGATCATCACATAGATCAAATTGCGGAAAAGTATAATTGGAAATTGCGCAAGAACCTTATATCTTACAAAACGTGGGAAGAGTTAAAAAAGCAAAAAAGTATATGCTTTTAATCAAATGTAAAAACCAGACAAGACATTATTAGCATATGGTAGTAACTCTCCTTTGGCAATAGAGGGTTCATTTGAAACTATACTCGAAGTCGATGGACGAAAGGAACATACAACCATTTATGTGATTTCGGGGGGTACTAGAGACCTGTTGGGTAAGAACACAGCAGTCCGTCTGGGTGTCTTAAAACTTGGTATCGGGATAAATCAAGAGGAGAGTACCGATCCCCATTAAAGAGAAGGTTGCAATCAAAATTAAGAAATCACTAAACAGTGATATAATTGAAGAAGTGCAAGGCCCGTCTAAATGGGTTTCACCAATGTTCCAATCATGAAAGAAAATAGTGAATTACGTTTGTGCGTAGATATGAGATGTACGAACGCCGCTATATTGCGAAAAAACCACCCCCTGCCTACTATGGACCATTTTTGCCAAAAATGAAGAAAGATAAATATTTTAACAAATTAGATATAAAAAAATGCCTTCCATCAAGTGGAAAATCACTCTGAATCCAGACACATAACGACTTTTATAACCCCCAAAAGAGTATATAGATATAAAATAATAATGCTTGGAATTACCTGCGCTTCCGAGATTTTTCAGAAGATCATTGAAAGGATGCTGATAAACTGTGAAGGGGTCGTCAATTTTATTGATGATATCCTGGTATTCGGGAACAGTGAAGAAGAACATGACGCATGACTAAAGAAAAATCTACAGGTACTTAGTAAAAACAACGCCGTGCTGAATAGCAATAAATGCATATATAAAACGCAGGATGTGAATTTTCTGGGACACAGGCTTACACATGAAGGAGTAAACCCTTCAACAAGTACGTTGAGAGCATTATGAAATTTAGGGTCCCAAAGACCATAGAAGAACTCCAAAGTTTTTTAGGACTTAAACTACATAAACAAATGGATACCTAACTTGGCCGCCATGACAAAACTTCTGAAGCACCTGCTAAGACAGAAGATGAGCAAAAGGAAGAGCTTGGAAAAACAATGGTCTGGGGAACAAGATAAAGCATTCCAAAAACTCAAACGGATGCTCACGGAAATACAGATTTTAGGGTATTATGACGTCAGAGATGCAAGACAGGTGATAGCAGATGCTAGCCCTGTCGGACTTGGTGCTGTCCTTGTACAAAATGATACAAATGGCCCTAGAATTATTGCCTATGGTAATCGAACTTTGACAGACTGCGAGCGCAGGTATAGCCAAACGGAAAAAGAGGCACTAGCATTAGTTTGGGGGGTCGAACATTTAATTTTTTTTTATTTGGAAAGCATTTTGATTTAGTCACTAACCACACGCCGCTAGAGATATTGTTCGGGTCTAACTCAAAACCATGTGCGAGGATTGAACGATGGGTACTGAGGCTACAGTCTTATTCATTCAAGGTTGTATACAAGCCAGGAAAAACAAATATAGCTGATCCCTAGTCACGATTATGTAACTATCCTGATAACCCACCAAAAGGAAAAGACCAGCATGTGTACCAAATAGTGGAAAATTCTAGACCAGTTGCTATACCAATGAGTACCATTGTAGCATATTCAGAAAAAGACCAAGAGATTTACAAAGTGAAAAAAGGTGTCTATCAAAACGACTGGGGCGATTCAATTAAGAGTTACAAATTTTTTGAAAACGAGTTGTTTCCATGATAGCATTCTACTTGGTGGAAATAAAATTGTAATACCACTGCAACTCTGCAAGAGTGTATTAGATGCTGCATACGAGGGTCATCCAGGTATCGTAGCGATGAAGGGATGCTTGAGATCAAAGGTATGGTGGCCCCGTATCGATAAAGACGTAGAACAATTAGTAAAGGCCTGTAAAGGTTGTACGTTAGTGGGTTTGCCAAACCCACCTGCACCAATGAAGAGACGAGAGTTGCCTGCAGCTCCATGGATAGATGTCACAATGGATCTAATGGGACCATTGCCAAGTAACGAGTATCTGTTAGTAGTGGTCGACTACAATACAATACAATACAATACAATAACTTTATTTCAGGCATCAAGGACTTAAAAATTAAGAACATTGGCCCATAGCAATATATACCTTAACCTAAAAATATATATAAAATATAGACATAACTTAACACTATTTAGGGAACTTTTTTCTTTGGCGCGTCCCTGTATCGGCGAAACACTACCCCAGAGGGCCAGAAATCGGGAGCGAGGAATGTCTCTTTATGTTTTGCAGGAACCTGGAGTACGTAGGATTTGAAGTTCGTTGACCTATTAGACTCCAGACGCTGCAAATGTAAAGAGATCGGATCCTCAATGCGGCATCGGCTTCGTTCTTCCACGAAGCGCAGGACGTCTTCTCCCGACGTACTTTTGTCCAAACGGGAGATGTAGAGTTGTATGGTTGGCTCCACAGCACGCAGAGTTGTACTCGCGTTTATTTTCGCGGTCCCATGCTGGTTACAGACGGGTCGCGACCGACGTCTCTTCTCAACAAGAGTAAACCCGTCCTTATCAATCTTGTCTTGGGTCACCACTGGAACTGATTTTATTTCCACATTCTTCCGCTTTCGACCACAAGAGGGTGCCGGTTGTAAAGATTTTCGGGCAACATCCGCAAACGTCTTCCCTTGTTTTGAGGTTGGCTTCGGCGGAGGAGTACCAATGGGTTCAGTCAAGGGTTGAGGTGGTGATGCAATGACGACCGAGGTCGCCCTAGTTTCTCGGTCATCAACCCGCTGACAGACGGTATCGCGTGACGGAGTCGCAATCATCGGTGAAATATGACTACTATTACGGTTACCGCGTGTCGTATTCACATTCTGCGACGGCGGTGAATTTGAAGATGTTGCAATTATGTTGCGCAACATATTGACTTCGTTCCTCAGCTCTGTTGCGGCTCGTTCTGATTCCTCAAATTTGGAACGGATGTCGGTAATATCGGCTCTCAACGTGGTGATGTCTTTCAACAATCTGGTGACGTCTACGTGATCGAACGTCACGGGAGGCAGCTTGTTGAGATCACGCGCGACGAAAGTTGGGATGACATCAGGGTCGGTCTCATTGAACAGCCTGAAGATGTCTTGCAGGTCTTTCTTACCGCGTCCATCCCTGTGACGTGTGATAAGACGGATTTGGGTCACGGCTGAATCTGCTAACACCTTCTTCGCTTGGATGATCTCGTCCTCGGTGAAGCTTGTCATCAGTATCTGCTCCAGAGACACCTGGTCCATGACGTCCAATTTTTGTTGAACAAAGGCCAGCAACTCGTGGATTACGATGGTTTCGGAACGTTTAGGTTGACTGACACGCCATTTCGAATTATTTTTGCGCAGTAGGTATGCTTACGCTACAAAAATACTGTAAGTTCGGCATTAGAGCCGTCACGTCATTATGAAGCGACTGCACTAACCGGTAGTAAAATTGCGACTACGACTACTATAGTCGATACAAAGAAGTAAAAATTACAAAAACATCACAAGCTTACAGATTATTAAAATGGTAAAAGAAATGTTCAGTAGACTTGGTTATCCTATTTCTATCACCGCAGATAATGGCAAGCAGTTCGTTAGTGAAGATTTTCGATCTTTCTTCAAAGAATGTAACATTAAGTTATTTAGTACTGTACCATATTGGCCTCAAATGATCGGCGAAGTTGAAAGACAAAACAGAGATATTCTGAAACGTCTTCGTATCAGCCAGATCGAGAGGAAGGATTTAAAAGAATGTTTGTGGGAGTATCTTCTAATGTATAACAGCACCCCTCCTTACAGTTACCGGGAGGTTACCGTCTGAACTGTTTTTTCAACGAAAAAGTAGGGATAAAATTCCATCAGTAGGTGAAATAAATTACAGACAATCATTTAGATTCAGATATCAGGGATAGAGACAAAATACAAAAAGAAAAAGAGTATGTAGATAGGAAACGCAGAGCAACTCACTCAGATATAATACAGGGAGATAAGGTTTACGTAAAAGCAGTGGAAAAATCGAATAATCTTACAACAAATTTTAAACCGACGCCACACGTCGTAGAGAGTGCACGAGACGGTGACTGCACAGTACGCAATAGTGAAACGAACCAAAGCTTTAGGAGAAATGTGATACATTTGAAGAAAGTAGGAGGCGATTGGACGGCGATTCCACCCGATCAGAATGAAAAGAACAAAATCTAGAACAGGATAAAGAAGACGAAAATATGTAATAATTAATACAGACAATACAAGCTGCTTTGTGATTGTTATGAGTTATAATAAAGAAAAGAAAAAATCTTGATAAGAAAGAGATGTAGTGTTTGCATATATATATATGTCACTGTCTCGAACGCACCGCGTCAGTTACACGAGAGCCTCGGGCGAGAGTGGACGTGTTTAGTTAAGTGCGTGCCGAGCCTGTGTTACACTACAGTGATTAGAGAAGATAGCAGACAATACACGTGGAATATCGACAACAAAGGAGGTGAAGACCCGCCGACCGCCTGGTTATCCGATGGTGCAAAGGAGAAGGAGGAAGAGGGAGGAATTCACTACATGGGATTTTCACGGTGCATTCCCTGTTGTGTTTTATTTTAAAGGATAAGGATAACTATTACAAATTGTAAAGTATTATCTTTACGCTCAGAGCGCCAATGCATTTGTGGTCTCCTTAATTTGATGGCTGCAGGACTTGCGGCAACCAGCAGGGGTCCATTTACCAATAGGTGGACTACGAAATCTTCACTACCTATTTTCTTTTATTTGGAAAAATTGTCCACGCATATGTAGCGTTCATAATAAGCCACTTAATATAACATGTCCTTACATTCCATTTAAAAAATATACTCACCTTAGTAATCATGATACTCCTCGCCCCTACCATCAGTCCGTGTCGAGAGCAAATCGCCTGCGGCGTGATCTCGCCCAGCAGTACGATAGCGAGCGTCGAGAATATAACGGCGAACAATCCGGATGTCAAATCGTCCAATAATATCGTAAATGTCGAATTCACAGCCACGTTGCCAAGTAAAATACTGCACAAGAGGTGGTTCCCGTGATCGCGCACCGGCATTATAGCACGCGCGTACTTCCTCTCCTGCTCTGTTCCCGTGTTCGAAATTATCTTTAGCTCGGTCCTGTCTAACGACATTAGACCTAAATTTAGACCGGATAAGAGAGCGGAGAACATTAGACATACCAGGATCAGAATAAAGGAGACCCAGAGGGGGAGGAGTTTGTTGTGTGTCGCGAAAACCCTCCAACTTTCAATTCCCTGGTGTATATACTTTTCTTCGTCTTTGTCTGGGTCTGTGACGCCGAATTTCAAGTTCTTTGCGCATATGTACATTTTGGAACCCGTTATCGGTGACGGAGCTATGATTTCAAACAGTGCTGTATTTGATTTCAATGAACCTTCTTTCACCTGTAAGTGACACAGAAGTGAGATCGTGAAACTATAGTAATTTATTGCAAACATATTTAATTTAACCTTTTGACCGCCACGCCAAAAACGTAGTGCCTTTACACCAAAGCGAAAAGTAAACAAAAATACCTACGAAAAAAAAATAGTGTTGCCAAGAGTTGATATATCGATAACACAAAATAACTTGGTTTTGTTGGTTTTTCATGCGACAAATGATTCTTTATAATATGGTATGTTTTATTTAATCTTGTGCTGTCTTCCTCTCTTTTTATTTATGTACTTTGTACATAAATAAAAAGCAAACAATATCAATAAAATAGTAGTAAACCACAGCACTACTATCCATCGTGATGACGTCACTGTCACGACTGGACGACAACGGCGTAGCTGACCTTCCTTTTTGAAACGTTCTTAGAGATGTAGCCGTGTCGCATGTTGTGTATCCATTTTGAAATCGATCTAATCAAAATATTATATACAGACATCGATTCAAAATATTTTATGTGTCGGGGGAGGCGTAGGCCAAGTGAAGCACAGAAGAAAAGTCTTACGCTCTTCTGACAATGGGGGTTTGATATGACGCTGATGCTGCCAGATGAATTTGAGATTGAGAAAAAAAATAGCACAACACAAAATGAAAAATTGCTCTTCATACCTTAAGTAAAAAAAAACACATTTATTATTTGTAATTTTATATTATTAAAATAAAAAAGGTACATAATTATTCACTAATCAACAATTGCATATAATTATTCGCACTAGGTAAATCAGTCAGAATCATTCATGTTGCACTGCACTACTTTTCTCGCTAATCGCTTATGACGTCATCAGGGTGTCGTCTATACTTGTCCACGGCGCCTAGTGAACTGATTTTCGATGACGCGCTAAGGATGCGCCAGAGCTGATATATTAGATTTATTATGCGAAGAAGATTTGATAACATTTTTTTAAATTCATGTAGCTAATTATAGTTTTATGTTTCTAACCGTTTGTTTTATTCGAATATCAATAATAATAGAAAAAAAAATAACAAGTTTGAGCTGAATTTTGGATATTTTTTAAGAAATCCTTGCCTCGCGCGTACAACACTAGCGGTCAACTATAGACGACTTTGGCGTGCTGGACATAGTATTTGCTTCATAGATTAATGATAAGTCATCGCGCGCTCTGACTAGATACCGCCGGCGCTCATGTAAAATGCGGCAACAAATACTACGCTGAAATCGGCGTACCCGAGCCAGTCGCGTTGCAGGCAACGTGTGAGGTGAACGTACCGAATGTTTTATTAAATTTTGATCATAATCCGAAGTAAAATACCAGTTTACGTATTGAAACTGTGTAAAAATAATACTACAAGAAATAAGAAAGACACTGGAATCACATACTATCATTAAGTATCATACAATTTCGAAATTTTAACATAACACGAGTCGATAAGTCACAAAATATGAACGACGCCATTCAGTGTTGCCGCGTATACAAAAATGAAGTACCCCGTTGCTGAGTTTTTATATGTGAATTTATTGTTACTATATTTTGTGATATAATATATTTAACTTATTATAATATAACCTAATTCTATATTATTTAATGTTTATTTCTGTAGTATTGCTCAAATGACATAATTGCCATTTACTAGGGTTCCGTACCCAGAGTATCAACGGGACCCAAGTCTCCACTATCGTCTGTCAGTAGGCTGTATCTTATGAACCGTAATATGTAGATACTTGGAATTTTCATAGAATGTGTATTTATATTGCTGCTATAACAACATAAAATAAAAAAGAAAACAAGTAAAATATTAAAGGACCCAAAAAAATCAGGTTTCTTGTATGAAGACCATACAAGAAACGTGATTTTTTTCTGTATGTGATATGTGTTTTGTTTACAGACTAAAGCGAAACCTGGATTAACACGAAATAAAATGATGCTGTGTGTATGGTGGTATTGAAAGGTATTATTATTGGTATTGGTATTATATTATCATGAGCTTTTACCGCCGGGTAAAACCATCGATTCGGATCTCTACTACCAATAAATAATGAGACAAGCAAGAAATAGAAAAAGAAACGTCTGGCATTGATAATCAGAAAAGGAGTGGTCTTTCATCATGATAACGCCAGATCACAAGATTAGTTATCTGTTTGAGACTTTCAATACACACTAACATTCCTAAAAATCCAGTATTTGCTTGAGTACTTAAAACTGGTTTAAAAGTTTTAGTCATTATTTTCTTTTGTTGCTTGTGTTCTTTAAAAGAAAGCTTTCTGAAGGTTATAATATTTAAGTTTATAAATTTTTTTTCCATTATAAATGGGATGACTAAATCCATGTTCCTTCAAATCTCTGGTATTGAATATATCAAATAAAACTGTCGCATTTTTTAAATTAAAATCCCAAGATTTCTACAGCAACGTTTATTTTTTATTATTTCACTACCTACAAGATGGTAACAAATTATCGAACAGAATGGACCCATATATATTATAATTAAATGTAATAAAACTTTAAAACAAAAACGTCTTGAATTTGTATACAATATACGAAGAAACTTTTTCCCCAGTCTTATATACTAACTAAAGGTGTAACTAAATAGTACTTAATAACTTAGGGAATGATTCTGCCCGTCAACGTGAATATTTTTTATTATGGGATCGTCTTCGAAATTTTCAATTTATACGTGATAGACCCATACTGCAGCTATATTACTGGTATAGTTGTAGCACGAATGGGTCAGCTCGACCGGGGACGGACCATGCTCTCACAGAATACCAGTGTAAAATAGGAGCTTAACGCTGCTGTGTTTCCTATGGTGAGTGTAGACAACCGGAGACCCTTTTTACTGGAAACGAGGCATTCCATCTTAGTCCTCAGGGGTTGCAATGCATCTGCATATTGATTCTTAACCGACGATAGATGTATATGTCTATGGGCCACAGCAACCACTTACAATCAGGTGGACTGAGTGCTCGTTTGTCACCCTGATCCTATAAAAAATATCTCAAAATCAGTTATCCCATACAAAATTTCGTACAAACTTGCTCAAAATGTATGGAAGACCTGATTTTTCTTGCGATTAGGAAGATAGATCTATAGTAAAAGTTGTTCATATTGACGCGTAGAATAGAAAGCCCTATTTTGATTACACCATATATATAACTATTTTCTTAAATAATTTGTGAATATTAGTTAGACGTGTAAATAAAAAAAATTAAACATAAAAAGGAGGCCATATCATTTATATGTCAATTTATTCAGAAGAAAAACCTATACATAATATACACAAATATATTGATACATTCGTTATTAATAAACTATTCATTTTTAAGTATTTCTGGAATACATTCATAACTATGAACTTAACTACTAAGCTATAGCATAAAATAAATTTTCCCGTTAATCGGGTAATAGTTAAGCTGCTGGCATATACAATTTTTCACGCACACTAGCATCATGCAAATAGTCTTATACACACTACAATATTAAGATGCCGCACTCACGGAGCTGTTACTTGCAGGGAGCGCGGTATCTAGTCAGAGCGCGCGATGACTTATTATTAATCTATGATTTGTTTAGAGAAAAATCCATTTTTTTTTTAGTTTTATTTTTTATTTTTTATTTTATTGATAGAACCACCAACGGAATAACATGTTGTTTTAAAAAAAATGTGACAATAGGCTTAGGAACTAAGATTTACATGTTTCCATTTAAAGGTAGTTACAGCATGTTTAAAAAAGACGATAACTGTACGATAACTTAATAATTGTTACAAGTACGAGTAAAATACTAATATAAAACAAACAAACACAATAAGGACAATACGAAATATATGAAAATTAAAAATATATAAAAATAACTAAAGGTAGTTACAGCATGTTTAAAAAAGACGATAACTGTACGATAACTTAATAATTGTTACAAGTACGAGTAAAATACTAATATAAAACAAACAAACACAATAAGGACAATACGAAATATATGAAAATTAAAAATATATAAAAATAACTATACATAAAATAGTTCAATGTTTCTTAGTACTTGTGGCTCTAGGAGACTAGTTTTTTACACTCACATGTTGCTGGGTTATTCTTTTTTGAGGAGTGTGGAATTAAAATACCAGTAATTTTTTTTTTATTTAATAAATCAACATAAAAAAAGTTTAAATTAATCAAACACGGTGTCGCAAAAACCTAACAAGGTTTATCTGTACACCATGCTTCATCGACGGCACTCGGTGCTGCTTAACCTACGTACGGACATTGTCTCTTACATATTACGGTAAATACTTATAACATGCTTTAAAATCGTAGCGAAGATCCACACGCTCACAATACGTATATTGACGGGTAGTAGAAATATGTCATTACTCAGACGCACAAAACCGGCTAGCAAATGAACGTACACAGGCTGTTTACAAGTGATAGATTTTAACTATACTATGGTTGCTAGTTAATCTCCGTTTTGATAATGTAGTATTATAACACATAGAATATCATCGATATTTATTTATAATATGTACATTTTTTACTTACATAAATATGATATAGTTATTTAGTAAGATGCTTTTTTATTTCATCTAAATAATGTAGTTTTAATTTTCTTTTTATATTTTGCATAGTAATGTCATTTTTAAGTGTAGAGTGTAATTCATTTATTAGTTTGGGTATAATATAGGCAAGTCGTTGTCTTCCGTAATGATTTTGAGATCGTGGTATTGTCAGCAAAGCCTTTGACACACTGCGAGTCTGTTTTTTATGATCAATTAAGTGTTGTATATCTTTATTAAAATACTTTTCGTTAAGTAAAGTTAATTTAACTTTCTCATGGACGGGAATAATCTTACAGTAACTAAATAGACCATCATAATTGTTTCTGTACTTGTCTTTTACGTGAGGTGATACGATGGCTTTAAGAATTCTTAGCTGTAGTTGATAAATTAGGTCTAGGTGCGATTTGTATGTCCGTCCATAACTACTCAGCCCGTAGGATATGACAGATTCTCCTAATGCTTTGTACAGCAGCATTTTCGTTGCAAAGGGTATTTTCCATTTAATTAGTAAAAATTTTGCCAAAATTGCTCTCAATTTATCGCAAACAGAGTTAATGTGATCGGTCCATTTAAAGCGGTCATCAATGACTAGTCCAAGATATTTTTGCGTTTTTACTACTTCTACGGGTTCACATGCGCAGTTGATATGGTCTGAGTGAAGGCAAGCGTGATCGTGGACGATTAATTGAGGACCTGTATTAATCCTATTTTGGCTGGAGCTGATATACATAAGCTTAGTTTTGTTGGCGTTAAGAACAAGCCCACTATCATGGGACCATTTTGTTAGAAGGGTGAAGTCCGTTTGGAGCCGATGTAGTGCGACATTTATGTTAACGTCTGCGGATACTAAACATGTGTCGTCTGCAAATTGATAGATTTCACAGTTGTTAATCAGGTTAGTCAGATCGTTAACATATGTGATGTAGTGCACTGGCCCCAAAACAGAGCCCTGTGCTGTGCCCTCTGAAAATCTCACCATAGAGCTGAGTTCCTCTCCAACCTTGATATATAGGGTTCTGTCTTGCATATAATTCTGACACCATTTGTTGAGAGGGCCTCTTACTCCACAGTCATTAAGTTTTTCTATAAGCGTACTGTGCCGCAGGGTATCAAAAGCCTTGCTGTAATCGACGAATACAACTAGGACATGTTTTTTATTATTAAGATGTGTGTAGATGGAATCTGAAAATTTACTTAATAGTTGTGTAGTGCTTTTTTTAGGTTGGAAGCCAAACTGTTTTTCTGTTATGATACTGTTGTCTGAATAGAAGTTTAGTATTTGTCGAGTGATAAATTTTTCAATAATTTTATCAATTATTGGCAGTATCGTGATTGGACGATAGTTATTATAATCTTTAGGACTACCTTTTTTATAGATTGGACGTACTATACCTGTTTTTAGCTCTGCTGGATATGTACCATTTTGCACAGATATATTTATAAGATTAGCTATAACGGGTGCAATTTTATCACTTATGTTTTTAACATCAATAATTCTTATTTCATCAAAACCAGGAGCTTTTTTAGTGCTTAATGAATGGATAATTTTGTTAACAGATCCTGCAGTAGCTTTTTGAAATCTAATAGAGAGGTTAGCTGGACGGCGGTAACTAGCTGAATCCAGAATATTAATGTTACATTTGGGTGTAATATTTTTTACGCTATCACTAAATGTTTTCGCAAAATTATTTGCGATGTCGGCAGTTTTTATGGTGTTCGTTTCCATAGCATTTCTTATAACGTTATCTACTGAAGCAACGACTTTGCCTGTAATTTTATTTAGAATGACCCATAGATTTCTTATATCCGTTTTGTTGTTAATAATTTCAGATTTTATATATTTGTTTTTATATTCTTGTATAATTTTATTAGCGTAATTTCTAGCTTTATTGTATTCCAATTTTAATATTTTATTATTTGTATCTTTGAGCCATTTTATAAATAATTTGTCTCTATAGTTGCATGCCGTATGTATTTTTTTATTCATCCAATTATTGTTATTACGTCTGTAATCATTTTTAATTTTAATTTGTATTAACGATTTATTATAACATGTCTTAATGTTTTTTAATATCAAAGAATACAATTTCAAAGGACAAAAGATATGTTTAGTATTTTGCCAGTCGATATCCTGTAATTGCGAAACAAGTACTTTATTATTATATTTTCCCTTAAAAGTTTGAACATCCTGTGTACGCACTCTGCCAGTTCCGATGCATGCTAAAACTATTGCACGGTGGTCAGCCAGTTGAGTACCGAGAGCCGCTGTATACACGCCTTGTGTGCGGGATCTCGCATAGATATGATCGATACAAGTCTTGCTTAATTTGCAGTTAGCGATTTCAATTCTTGTATATTGTGAGATTCCGCACATTAGACCATAGTTGTACAATGCAGTATTATATTTATGTTTTATAGGACTACTTATTTTAAGATCTATGTTTACATCACCTAACATAAATAAGTCGTGATTCTTATTTACAGTTTTAAGTGTGCAGTGTAATTCATTTATAAACAAGTGTTTAATAAATGAGGGTGGGCGGTATATTGCTAACAGAGTTGCGGAATATTTATTTGGGGTGGTTATTTGGCCTAAAATGCATTCAAAGTACCGTGTTTTTTTATTATGAACTCTAAATTTATGTTTTTTATGAATGTACATAATAATACCTCCTCCTTTACGATTATTTCGCAACTCTGTGTACATATTATACCCATCCATCTGGTACAAAGAGCTGAGTGATGATGATATATTTGCTTCAGTAACAATTATTACATCTATCAATTTCGTACATGAAATAATTCTTTCCTCAAGAGCAGAAAAGTTTTTTATTAGTGAACGTATGTTAATATGTAAACAAGATAGATTAATATTACTAGGTAAATTATTTATAAAGGTTTCCAATATGTATATTTCATAATTTTGTGGGCTGGGTTTTTTGTCAACTATAGACGACTTTGGCGGTCAAAAGGTTAAGAGCCGTGGTAGATTAGGGGCTTAGCGCTCGCTGTAAATTTCAAAGTACGCAAGCAACCCGGGTTCGATCCCGGCCGACACCAATGAAATTGTTAATTGCAATTTTAAGTTCTAATTTACCACGAGCTCGGCGGTGAAGGAAAACATCGTGAGGAAACCGGCATGTCTGAAAAAATAAAAAATATATATTTCGAAGACACGTGAAGTCCGCCAACACGAAGTTGGGCAGCGCGGTAGTGTCTACTTTTTCCTTGCCTTAAACTCCCTAAAATGCCTTAAAACCCTCTCGGAAGTGAGAGGAGGCCTATGGCCAGGAGTGGAACCTATATAGGCTGTAATTTTATTGTATAAATAATGATAAAGTTAAACACATTTTTGTTTTTATTTATTAAAATTTTATCAAAAAAAAAAAAAAAAAACAACTGTACATATAAATAAAACGTACCATGTACTCTCCTTTGAGCAAAAACTTGCAAGGTTGTCCGTACTCAATATGGTCGTGTGTAAAGGCTATCACAGTCCTCGGCGTCAGACCTTGGCCGAAAATCCTAAAAACACAAATAATATTTAATATTAAAGAGTCGGCGCTTGCTTGGTTTTACCTCGGACGACCAAAGAACGTTTCATGTCTCTTTTTATAGTATAAGGGTGACAAACGAGCACGCAGACCACCTGATGGTAAGTGGTTGCTGTGACCCATAGACATCTACATGTAACCTCGATTAGGAATCAAAATGCAGATGCGTTTTCACCCGTTAGGACTAAGACGGAATGTCTCGTTTCCAGTAAAAGAGTCTCCGGTTCTCTACACTCACCATACGAAACACAGCAGTGTTAAGCTGCTATTTTTCGTCCTTCCCGGTCGAGCCAACCCATTCATGATACAAATATACTACTAATATAGCTGCAGCATGGCTTTACCACGTAAAAGAACTGATTGTAGGAACACGTAATCAGGCACACATCCAAAATGATTTGCAGCCAATAACATGGTTTTTTGGTGCAGAAACAGAACAGAACTTTTACAGGCTGTTAAAGAAAGTAAGAAAAAAAGAGTTGAGCATGGTTTCGCAGTCATTTAAATTGTACGCAGCGCCCCGTACGTGGGACGCATGTTAAATATAACTAATAACTTATTTTTAACCAACACAAGCAAACAATCTCTCACCGTAAAGTTACTTTTGTATCAGCCAGAACACTTGGTATTCCATCCTCGATTATCTTCGGTTCCTTCTCCAAATCCTCTATTCTTAACCCTTCAATTACAATTGGTACAGGATCTGCCTTGACCGTGATAAACTCCTGCAGCTTCTGGCCAGCTTGTCGTTCACTTCTTTGCACAGTTGGATCATCATCATTCCTCGTTCCCCCTTCATCGATTTTATCATCGAACGGACCCAACACTTTATCGCTTCCCAAGTTGGTTTCTTCAAACTGCTCCAAATCTTGTCCCTTGGTTTCTTTCACAACACTATTTATTATTTCACGTTTATATTTACTGTTAGAATCATTATCTTCTCTTGCATTACCACCGTAGAATGCATTTTCAGCTTCAAGGGAAACTGGGCCGTATGATTCTGAAGTTCGATGGTTGTTTAGCTCAGTTTTGTTTAAAGAGATATTTTTATCACGAAACAAATTATCTATGTCGCCTCTCTCTTTATTGGTGATCCGAGGAGCGTTAGGTAGGTAGTTTACGTCAATGTCATGAGATAGGTCTGCCCAGTTCGATTTTGTGTTTTGAAGTTCATCTCTCGAACTATCTGAAGGCTGATTTAAAACTGGTGATTCCAGATTTGTATGTCTGAGAACAAAATAATTACGTGTAAGTTAATTAGGTTGATGGTCGACGACTACGATCAACATAGTGCACGTATTAAATAAATATCACTTTATTGTCACATCTTCTAATTAACTGAAACTTTGGAAGAAAAATTTTACTGAAAAGGTGCGTTGACACTAGTTGACTGGCACCCATTGACTAGACACAACTTGTTATTCACGGAAGTATAGACCAACTGGAACCCACACTCCTAATATCAATATTAGCAATAATCAAATGACCTTGAGTAACCCCTGTTTTCCCTACAGGATAGCCAGCGTGATGACTGATATTACCCCATTGACAGCCATCATGAATTTCAGTATAAGTTTAATTGTCAGTATGGCAAGAATTATAAGTAAAAAATGATAACAAAACTTGATAAAACGATTTTCACGCAAGTTTTTGCTTTTTCTTTTAAACACTTAATAAAGATTTACTATGAACTATTTGCCTAGCTTCCTACATATTTCCCCTGTTTCAAATTTATTCTTAAAAGCCGTTATATAACAACCCAAAATCTATTTGTCAAATAATTTTTACTGTACATGGCGGATGTTTATGTTCATTTCGCAAGTTTGTTTTTGAATTTTGGAATAATGCAGAGGCAGAACTAGAAAAATGGTCATTATATGTATTGTGCGCGGTTGCAAAAGTGAGTGGCACCCAGAATTCATTTGTAAGTACAAAACACCTTGCAAATACTGCGCGTCATGTGAAACTAATTTTCAGTGATATTTCGAATTTAATTGCTGTTATTTCTGTATAGACCAATGGGTATTTTGGTTTAGATGTTAATTTTGGTTCGGTATTTCCAATTTTATTTGGCTATTTGCTTAATAATTAACGATTCCTGTTTGTATTATAACTTCGACTAGGGTGACCATATATTGTAATGTATTTTAATTACAAACGGAATTTTCTCGAATGGTCTCTCTGCTCGATTTGCGCGAAATTTCGAAATGTTGTTGTTGTTGTTTACATGAATGATGATACACTGAAACATCAAAATTAAAATAATTAGATATCTTTTATTACTTAATTTTTTGCAGGATTCCTTCCAATCTAACAGAATCTAATAAATGGTTAAACAATGTGGAGCTAAAATACCCTTTTTTGAAAAAGCAAAGATTTGTAATCTATTTCATATCAACCAACAACCAATTACACGATTACTGGGAAACCGCTGAGACAAGGAGTCACACCGTTTTTAAATGAAATAGCAGATTGTTCTGTGGTACAGGTATGAGCTTTTGTTAGGTACTTGTTATTTCTTAATTCAAAGCGATGTTTTGTTTCCAAGGGAAGAAAAGTAATTTAAAAAAAATCGCAGAAACAAATTTTTGAGAAAGAAAGAAAAATGCATTCTGTTACCTAGAAAACAGGAACAGCTTGATATATCACTAGGCTATAATTTGTAAAAATAATTACAAGCTATTTTGTACATATTTTGCTAAGTTTTTAATTGTATTTAATTTTTAAATGAAAATTTACACATTTCATCAAAATTGCTGTCTCAGGAAATCCATTTTTTTGATAAATTGTACGATAAGTGTGACAAAATGAAAAATAAAGTGTTCATGACAAATTATACGTGGTAGAGCCATGCTGCAGCTAAATTTCTGGTATAGTTGTAAAACGAATGGGTCGGCTCGACCGGGGAAGGACCACGCTCTCATAGAATACCAGCGTAAAATAGCAGCTTAATGCTGCTGTGTCTCGTATAGTGAGTGTAGAGAACCGGAGACCCTTTTTACTGGAAACGAGGCATTCCATCTTAGTCCTCACGGGTGACAACGCGTCTGCATTTTGATTCGTAATCGAGGATAAATGTAGATGTCTATGGGTCACAGCAAACAATTACCATCAGGTGGACTGTGTGCTCGTTTGTCACCCTTATCCTATAAAAAAAAATCCAAAATAGTAATGATATTTTAATTTTATTAGCATGCTTTGTTGGTCTATTATATTGTTAACTACATATTATGTCTAAATTTTTTCAGTGTTCCAGTTTTTTAAAGTTCAATTGTGATTTTAGTTCTGACTATAGCATTTTCACAACTAACTAGTCCATTATAAAAATATTCGTTGTAAGAGCTTTTTACTCTTTCAGGTCATGGACAAAAGCACTTCCTCCATTCAAATCTTTTGCGCTGATAAGTGTGCAAGCAAGGATTAATTTATCACGAAAAGAACTAATTATTAACATTACATTTTACTCGTCAAAAGCGTACCATTTTATTAAACAATATGCGACTTTGCCAAACGTTGAGACCTTAAGACGTTCTTTGGCCTTCTTTAATTGCATTGTGGAGCTTTTCATCTGATCCAAATCCGATCTCAAATACTGATGATACAGATACTAATGATGAAATCGAAAATCACTTGCAGGCTTTGGAGACACAAAACACCCATACGGATTATCAAAAAACTATTCTTTATTATATTACCGGTTATATAATAAAACATATCGTCAAACAGCTGAAATGGAACGATTGTAAAAATTTGCTAATTGCTGCAGATCATTTACTAACCGATCATTTATACGTTTTGAATGTAAATAAATATCAATCATCTACAACATTTGTAAATAGAGGTAAATTGCTTATTCCATCCACAAAGGTGTACAAAATTGTACTTTTTGCGGATAAAATATTTAAAAGGGCACTAAATATGAATAGTCTGAGTCCACCTTATATTAAAAATGTATTAATCAATATTACTCGTATTATTCATCACTTCACACCACAGTTGCGACCAATGTTTTATTTATACGTATTCTATACGTGGTAGAACCATGCTGCAACTATATTAGTACTATAGTTGTAGCATGAATGGGTCGGCTCGACCGGGGAAGGACCACGTTCTCACAGAATGCCGGCGTAAAATAGCAGTTTAACGCTGTTGTGTTTCGTATGGTGAGTGTAGAGAACCGGAGACCCTTTTTACTGGAAAAGAGGCATTCTGATGCATTTTGATTTGTAATAGAGGATAGATGTACATGTCTTTTGATCGCACAATAAATAATAAATAAATATAGGCCGCAGCAACCACTTACCATCAGTTGGACTGTGTGCTTGTTTGTCATCCTTATTCTATAACAAAAAATCAGCCTATGGATGGCAGTATTAATTGCTCTTAATTTCATTAATCCAGAATTTTAAATTTTGTTTTATAGGATAGGGTGACGACAAACGAGCACACAGTCCACCTGATGGTAAATGGTTGCTGTGAATTTGAAACTCTTTTTTGACCATGTGTCTCAGAACGCATTTAAAAAAAATTATGGACTAAAAGTTGAGTGCTGTTCGTACCAAGCGACAAAAACTTCACAAAACTATTCAATCATGTATAAAAATTGAGTTGTTGTAAAAACCTTCACCTCTAATTATTATTATTGTATATTTTAAATTTGTTGACACTATTGCTATTGTAATAATAAATGTAAATAAAAACGATTATTATTTTAGTTTTATTATTTCCTAATGTTACATTGTAAGAGATGTAAAGACAGCCTCCCGAAAACTTTAACCATGAACCATCATCCTAAGTAAGGTACTGAAGAATTTTCTTTGTGGAAATTAAAAAAAATTGACTTCCCATACAAAATTGGTCACGTGACCGATACATTTTGTATGGGAAATCGTATTTTTTGTTCCTTTTTGGACAAAAATTATTTTAGTTTTAGTTAAAGTTTTGTATATAGAGCCAGTTCACTCGTTTATTCGTTTATTGACAAAAAAGTACACGAATAAATAATATTAATTAATAAACTTCCGCCCGCAGGCTCGTCCTTATGAAATTCTCTAATATCATGCGTTTCAATGGAACTCTACTATTTTCAATTAAATTAAAATTTTATAATATTATATTCAATAATAAAAATAAACTGATTTTTTCCCCATAATATTCCAAATTCTTGTATTTTGTGTTCACCCTAATTAGAAAGAGACTGAGGGGTAGTGAAAAATTTCAAGGTCGTTTTCTTGTATTTTTTATGTCATTCGAAAGTGCGGGTTCCAGTTTGTACGAAGTAGATGTATTTCCATGTCGGCGGCCATAAGGAAGCGAGATGGAATAATATCCATCTCCGTCGCACTTTTTCTTATCTTCCTATGAAAGAAATATTATTTTATTTTAAATGACGCTTCATTTTAATCATCATCATCATCATCATTACAGCCCTTCACAAGTCCACTGCTGAACATAGGCCTCCCCCAAAGAATGCCACAAAGCACGGTCCTGAGCCACCTGCATCCATCGACTTCCTGCATGTCTTACCAGGTCGTCAGTCCATCTCGTGGGGGGACGCCGTACACTTCGCCTACCGGTACGAGGCTGCCACTCGAGAACCTTTCTTCCCCATCGGTTGTCGGTTCTTCGAGCTATATGGCCGGCCCACTGCCACTTCAGCTTACTAATCCGTTGGGCTATGTCGGTTACTCTGGTTCTACTGCGGATATCCTCATTCCTAAGTTTATCACGCAGAGAAACTCCGAGCATAGCCCTCTCCATAGCTCGCTGAGCGACCTTGAGCTTCCTCATACGGCCAGCAGTGAAGGACCACGTCTCAGTTCCATAAGTCATCACTGGCAACACGCACTGGTTGTACAATTTCGTTTTCAGGTTTTGAGGTATGTCTGACGAGAAGATGTGTCGTAGCTTCCCGAACGCTGCCCAGCCGAGTTGAATCCGTCGATTGACCTCTCGGTCGAAGTTGGACTTACCTAGTCGGACTATTTGTCCCAGGTAAACATACTCGTCAACAACTTCGAGCTTAGTGCACCCAACAACTACCGGCATAGTTGTGACATGGACATTGAACATGATGTTTGTTTTGTCCATGTTCATCTTAAGACCTATCCGTTGGGAAACACTATCGAGGTCATTGAGCATAGGTCCTCCAGCGATTCTGTCATAAGGACTATATCGTCGGCAAATCGAAGGTGAGTGATGTACTCGCCATTGATGTTGATACCGTATCCTTTCCAGTCCAGAAGCTTGAAAACGTCTTCCAATGCAGCGGTGAAGAGTTTCGGGGATATGACGTCACCCTGTCTTACACCTCTCTGCAATTGGATAGGTTTCGTACTCTGATTCTGTACTCGGATAGCCATCGTAGCCCTACTGTACAAGCACTTCGACACTTCGATATACCGACAGTCAACTTGGCACCGCTGAAGGGACTGCAGCACCGCCCAAATTTCGACGGAATCAAAGGCTTTCTCATAGTCCACATACGCCAGACATAGTGACAAATTGTACTCTTCGGACTTCTGTACAATTTGCCGAAGGGTATGTATGTGGTCTATTGTGCTAAAGCCCTTTCGGAAACCGGCTTGTTCGGGAGGCTGGAAGTCGTCAAGTCTGCGCGCGAGACGATTCGTAATGACTCTCAAAAACAGCACGTAGACGCGGCTCAGAAGGGAAATCGGTCTGTAGTTCTTCAAGAGAGCGTTGTCACCTTTTTTGAAGAACAAGACCACCGCACTTCTGCTCCACGCCTCCGGTGTAATGCCACCATGGAGGACGGAATTAAAGAGCTTCTGAAGGACTTCATGTACCGGTCTTCCACCCGCTTTCAGAAGCTCCGCTGTAATTCCATCCTCGCCTGGGGCCTTACCGTTTTTAAGGTGCTGGAGAGCCATTCTAATCTCGCTCAGACTGACGTCCTGGATATCTTCGGAATAGTGTCGGATGAGACTCGCTCTTGGATC